TGCTGTAGGCGAACTGGTCTTTGGTTCCTCAAATAAGTGACAAGCATTCTCTCATCATGTTCTTGTCTGCTGCACTGGAACAGCTCTCTCCGCTCCCTGAATCCCTAACCTCTCCTTTGCCTGGTTGGGTCCTACTGAGCTCTAACCTAGCCTAAGGTTCAGCATCACGTCTTTAGGAAAGCCCCGTTAGATTCCTCAGTTTTAGGCTCCTACCACCCTGACAACAGAAATTAAATGATTGTTGCTCATTTAATGACTCTTCTTTACTAAAGAATTAGCTCCACAAAGGCAGTGGCTAATGGGGAGTATCAATAAATACTGAGCTTTCTTCTTCATTCTGACATATCCCCACTCACAGCAGGGCACTGGCACTGGCTTGCTCTCTCTCTCTGCAGCCTTCTTAGGACCCTGATTCAAGCCTTTAGAGTTTCTCATCTTCCACTCCCCTGCATTTAGGCAGGACCAATATTTACCTTCCACGTTAACAACACACTTAGCCATTTGGGCTTATTGAGGTCTTATGAGATCTGTCATTCAACACACAGACTGCACTTCATGAGCTTTGTGTCAACTGCAGACTCTGCCACTGAACCAGGCACCCCTCCTAGAAGCCATGGCTTCTTAGGGTTCAGGGGTCATGAAGAGGTCCACTGGCTTTCCCAAACTCAGGCAACTGAAGTGACTTCCCAGCACTTACATCTAAGACTGACTCAATGACACAGACATATAGGTTGGAAAAGCTATTGTACCACTTCAATTTCCCTGGAATCCGTGCCCTCCTGCCCCACAAACACAACATGACAAACAGAAGTGAGGTTGACTTCAGGTATAAGTAATTCTGGCAGCTCCTGTTTTTTCCTGGCAGCCTTGTTCTGACTCTTAAGAAGTCCACAGGACTTCCAGCCAAGATGGAGGCATAGGTGGACGCACCGTACCTCCACGCACAACCAGGATTGGAACAACAATTTAGAGGCAGAATAACATCCAGAACTGACAGAAAACTGATCTGAATGGAAGTCGGGCAGCCAAGAAGTTAAAATGGACCAGTTCGTCCAGACTGGTAGGAGGGGCAGAGACGAGCAGCCAGGCCAGGTCGAGGAGCGGAGAGCAGAGAGAGTTGGGCGTGTAAGGCATCTGGGTGCGCGTAAGGCATCCGGGGCACTCAAGATTGCAGCGGTGGACCCTGAGGCACACGGAGAGACACCCAGCCTCATGGGAGAGGTCCTTGGAAGGTCCCATGGCGTGCACAGACCCACCCACACGGGAATTGGCACAAGAGGGGCCCAGTTTGCTTGGGGGAAGCAGCAGAAGAGACTGAGGTCCCACAGAGAACGGAGCAACCGCCATTGTTCCCTCGAGACCCCACCCCCACATACGTCATCACAATCCAGTGACTGGGGTGCTCAGCCCCGGTGAACACCTAAGGCTCCACCCCTCACTGTAACAGGCGTGACCAGACCAAAAAAAAAAAAAGAGAGAGAGAGAGAGAGATGGCTCAAAGAGAAAAACAAATCAAAGCCCCAGAACTCGTCCTTTTAAGCAACTGAGAGATAGCTAACCTATCAGATGCACAGTTCAAAACACTGGTGATCAGGGAGCTTACAGAATTGGTTGATTTTGGTGGAAAATTAGATGAACAAAAGCAGGCTACAATAAGAGAAATGAAGGAAAATGCACAGAAACCAATAGTGATGGGAAGGAAACTGGGACTCAAAACAATAGAGTGGAACAGAAGGAAGAAAGAAACAACCAAACAGGAAAGAATGGAGAAATAAGAATTCAAAAAAATGAAGAGAAGCTTAGGAACCTCCAGGACATCTTTAAACGGTCCAACATCCGAATTAGGGGTACCAGAAGGAGAAGTGGGAGAGCAACAGATCGAAAACTTATTTGAACAAATAATAAAGAACTTCCCCATTCTGGCAAAGGAAATAGATTTCTAGGAAGTCCAGGAAGCTCAGAAAGTCCCAAAGAAGTGGGACCCAAGAAAAAATACACCAAGGCACATCATAATTACAATAACCAAGGTAAAAATGAAGGAGAGAGTCCTAGAAGCAGCAAGAGATAAGGGGACAGTTACCTACAAAGGAGTTCCCATCAGACTGTCAGCTAATTTCTCAAAAGAGACCTTGCAGGCAAGAAGGGGCTGGAAAGAAGTATTCCAAGTCATGAAAGGCAAGGACCTACATCCCAGATTGATCTATCCAGCAAAGCTTTCATTTAGAATGGAAGGTCAGAGAAAGTGCTTCTCAGATAAGGTCAAGTTAAAGGAGTTCATCATCACCAAGCCCTTATTTTATGGAATGTTAAAGGGACTTATCTAAGAAAAGAAGATAAAAAAACATGTATAGTAAAATGACAGCAAACTCACAATTAACAACCACACCTAAAAGAAAACCAACAGAAACTAAGTGAACAACTAGAACAGGAACAGAACCACAGAAAGGGAGATAACATGGAGGGTTATCAACAGGGGAGTGGGAGGAGGAGACAGGAGGAAAAGGTACAGAAAATAAGTAGCATAGATGGTAGGTAGAAAATAGACAGGGGGAGGGTAAGAATAGTATGAGAAATCTAGAAGCTAAAGAACTTATAAGTATGACACACGGACATGAACTAAAGGGGGGGGATGTGGGTGGGAGAGGGTGTAGAGGGTGGAGGGGAGTGAAGGGGGGAAAATGGGACAACTGCAATAGCATAACCAATAAAATATATTTTAAAAAAAAGAAGTCCACAGCATTTTAAGCCCTTACGAGATTTCTAAGCATCCACTTCTAGATTCACTGAATTTATGTAACAGGGAGAAAAGTAACTTTATATCAAGAAAGCCATAAATATATAGTATTTGAGGTCAAATATTCAAACCCATTGGTGTAAAAGGGTTGTTTCCTGTGTAAACAGAAAACTTTCCCACCTTTGGAAGGAAATGTCAAATTATGGTTCAGTCATAAAAACAAAAGGAAAAAATAGTCTTGTCTTCTCCTCTAGTCAACTTCAATTCTATTTAAAGATTATCCCTTGATACGATTACTCAGTAATGATCAGTAATACTCTTTCACACCCTGACCAACGGATTCCCAACACCATCTTCACCCAGGGTGGTGGAAAAAGGTTGTACCTGAAATGGCCCATGGCTTCGCAGTGCTGACCCCCCAGGCAGGCACTGCCCCTCAACGACAAGTCTCTGAGAACACAGTATCAACAAGTCAGGAAGCCACAAATGTTCAATCCTGTTCTCCACATTAAATCCTCATTAAAACACAGATACTATGTCTCCACACAATTAATTCTATTTAAAAAGGAAATGTAAATCTGACAGAATCTGTTCTTGGTAAACCTCTCCCTTCTTTCTTCTCTACACACTTAAAAACCATGTTGTTAACAATTATGTTCTACTTTCTTCTCAGAAGAAATAAACTCACCAGGTCTGTAATTTTTAGGATCTTCTTCCCTTCTTTGAGCAATCCTAGAGAATGAAAGAATTGCTTGAACACTGTTCAGATTTTCCAAGCACATTCATTATCTCATTTGCTTTAAGCCAGAGGTTGCATCTCAAGCACCCACAGGGCCCCATGGGGCAGCGGAAATAGGTGAATGAAGCAGGTCTTGCCAGAGGCAGAAAGAAGTGTCAGCCCAGACTAGAGGGTCAAAATCATTAGTCAGCTCCCCACCAAACTGGTGCCACACAGTCCAATCAGTGTTTCAGAACTTCCCATTTCTCATGAGCATCTGGAACACGAACATTCAAATGTGAAACCTCATTTTTAAGTGTTGGTAATAATGTTAAAAAGCTCTCCCATTGGGCCAAAGCACATCACCGGACCAATTCAGCACACAGGAGTCTACTTTTAATTCCTTACTCTAAGCTAAGAAATCTACTTGGGGATCTCTTTAAAAGAAGAGGTATAGGGGAAGGAGAATGAGGGGCTTCAATCCTCTCTTGAAAATGTTCCTTTTTATTCCTCTCCAAGCTAAAATATTATTCTCCTTGCCCTAAAGCACAAAAGTAAGAGTGACTACAAAATTCCAAAGGATGGAAAGAAACAATGCATCAAGCCCAAGGAGTTACCTCCATTACCTTTAATGTTCCTGCTATAAACAAAATGCTGAAAAAGCTCTTAGGTTTTTATTCTTACACCTTTTGCCTAACCGCACCAAGGGTCTATTCATCCTTGGATATATTACTTCGCTCCACCCGTCCACTTTCAAAAATCTGAGGTAACTCTTCCAGCCCTATCTCTCACTACCCTCTCTATCCCAGCTAAGACACAGATCACAAATGATCCAAACATGCAATATTGTTCAAGTTTTGGAATTACAGTCTACGGAAACTTGCTAACTTTTTGTCAGAATTTGTAAATTGTTTTCTTGCTGACTGAGATGTTCTCACACCCAAACCATTGTTTGCTATCATTACTTCCTAGCATTTTAAAACATTCTTGAGAAACCATAAAAATCATTCCCTAATTTCTGGGGCTTAAAATACTTAAGGTATTCAAATTCCATTAATAATAAACGAGTAGCACCTAGCATTTAAGTGCCTGATGCTACATGGCATGATAGGCATGGCCTCTATGTTCTATGGAAGGAGTGCTCAATCCCGCCTGAAGATTTCATAACACTCAGAATGAGGGCAACTGTAATACCCTACTTTCTACTACAGTCCAAAGCAGATCGGACACAGCCTTTCAAGTCACTGTCAGCTTCAGAGACACCTGAATAAGCAGTTCGAATCCAGTGCCCATTAAAAATATTCCTAACTTCTCTTGTTCTTGAAAACCATGTTAGGAGCACTGAGATTGTTTGATGCATCTTCTGTAATAACAGTTCCACTCGTATGCCTTTGTTTTAATTCAGTACAGAGCAGTTAACAAGATACTACAAAATGAAAACCAACACCTGTCATTTCTTAAATGTATTGGAGAATTCTCATTGGAAGAGGAAAGATCAAAGACTTGACTGATAAAAGATAAAAGAACTACTGCAAATTATTACAAAAGTAATTTCTGAAATGTTTATTTTGAACCACTGCTAAAACAAAATTTTAGTGCCTCCTGAAGTTCGTATTTTGGTAAATGAACATATTAAATTACTGAAAAGCAGAAAAGAAGTTACTGTTATACAATGTAAGATCTTAATATAGTAATTCAGCACACTCAAATAAACAGCTACAATTATTTAAACTGCTTTGCTATATAAAACAAGAATGTGGAATTACTTTTAACACTGCACAAGTAACCAAAGGTAGCAAATCAAGCAATATTAAAATCTGATATTAAATAGTATTCAAACATTCCAATAAAAACAAAACAATGAACTTCTACAGCTACAATTATGCCCTTGGAAAGGAATGTACATGGATGGTAAAAAAATAAAGTGACAAGAGTGACTAAGACTGTACCTGCACCTTCAGAGCAGAAATACAGTTAAGTGAATGCATATTGGGTCTTTTGCTGAAAATGAGAAAAAAATGTACTTTAGTACAATTTTATAATTTCCACTGAAGTTCTAATTGTTTTGTGTGGTGACAGGCAGACAGGGTTTTAAATGAAAGTATCTTCCCTACATCTTGAGTATGGATACATTATTTTTTTAAATCCGATGGAAAGTTATCTTTGAAAAATATAAAACTTAAAGCAATGTACTGATGGGAAATTGATACTATTACTTGTGGAAGAATACTATTAGTTAAATAATTAACTAAGAAGCCATCTGGGTCTGGACTCTGATGACGAGTCTGTTAAACGCCACAGCCAGGGAATGTGTGCTGTCGTCGTGGCCGTCGGGAAACCTGCCCTCCGCTGCACGCTCGGCACACTTCATGAGCAATTAAGTTCTGCTGCCAACAACATAAAACCCTTATCTAAGCAAAATGAAAGTATCATGAGTTGGATTAATTCACGTCGAGTATCTGAAAGGGTAAGTGGAACATTTTTCAAAGTATAAACATGTCACCACATATATATTCACTGAATGAACACTCTCAAATGTTTTCTTCCATTGCGTTGTATCAAGCCATTCAGACACTGTAATTTTATTGTGATTTATAAAAGAATCATTTTTTGTATAAATCAGGACATATTTTCAAAATCAACATTAATAATACCTAAAACTTTAAACTTAGCTTGAGAAAAGACTATGAAAGTCTTGCCACATCTAAGTCTAAAATAATGTTTAAAAAACTCCTTATCAGAGGCCTCATTCACTTTCTTTCCACAGACACTCCAATGGTTCTAAACCTGATAAACAAAATTCAATTCTATGCACATCACAACTGTAACAGTTCTGAATAAGATATATTTCATAAGCGTCAAAATCATCAGAATGGCAATATTAAAATGTTATAATATGAATATGTAAAGTAGATTTATATTAAAATAAGACAGAGCTGTTCTCAACAAACAGAACAGTTTAGAAAAATCACAAAGTGCCTTCAAAGAAAGTAAATTTAGACTGTACTCAATTAAGAGATGCTGCTCTAAACAGAGAAGTTGTCTCTAGGAAAGGAAGCTTAACTCATGCTTCTTTTCACACCTGCCAATACTTCATATTTTTCTCCAGGCAAGCGCACTGAAGTGATGTGAGTGCGGAGTCCCACTATGACTATGAAAAGGCATGCTAACGCCTTTCGTGACAGGTCTGACACTTGCAGGGGCTGAGTAAGGGCAAGCTGAATGCAGTGCAGCTCCACCAAAATGCAAAAGGAAAAAGCAAACAAGGGAAATCTCACCTCAAAATGATTTTTACCATAAAATAAACAAACATAAACATTTCAAGCACAAAGCTTTACAAAAGCAATATATTATCACTTTAGTTTAAAAGAAATTCAGAACTCTGTTTTGCTGTTAATCAAACCTGTACATACACTGAAGTTATTACTAAACACAACTTGACAGTTATGTATTTGTAAAAATTCAATCCAAACTTAATAATCAATTAACTTGTGTTATAATTAACAACATAGTTCCTAACATTTAAAAACCCAGTCCAGTGCTGCTGCATCTCAAGTTCTGAGAAGCTAAAAGCAGAAATGATCCTGGTTATAAACATACATTTCCTGCATTTCTCCACCTTAAAAAAATACTTGAAGAAACTTTAGGAAAATTTATTTTTAAGGCCTGCTCTATTTATCTTAAATTGAGAAAAACTAAAGGTTGGAATATAACCTCAAAATATTTAAATAGTTCTTGGCATTTTTCTTAAAAAGCAAATTTAATTCTTTCATTATGAAATACATTTTTTCTACCATAATTAATAATTCAAATTAATGGAAGTGCCCCTAGTCCTTTCCCCATGGCAGGTGCTATGTCTTCTGTAATCTGTGCAGCTTCTAAAAGTCAGTGCTCAGAAAAAAAGAAAACGTTTTGGAGCAAAATCAAAACCCCCAACAAAAAGTAATTTACTGTAGATTACAAAATCCGCTAATGAGAGAACCAAAAAATTTACACATGCATACCCTCGCATACAAAACCAAGACACAATCTTATCCTCTATTCAAGTCAACTTGTAGTTTCTTAAGCTGAAGCAGCAGGAAATGTAGAGCCCAGAAGGAAAATATATCAGAGGTTTCTGCAAAACAGTGCAGATAGATTTTATCTGGGGAGGATCCTTTTTTTCTTTTCTAGAAAAAAGCTAGGGCTAAAGGGAAGAGGTTTTCAAAAATCCAAAAGTGAAAATCATTATTGGGCTTCTTTAAATACATTTCCATATTAACATTGGCTTTTAAAATTTCAACATATTTTGCAACTTTATTTTCATTTACAGGATAAGTTGGGGACTCCAAATAGTCAAAAGAGAAATACAAATTCTTACCACACAATCTTTATAGACATTTTCTGTTAAAGCACCTTTTTTAATGATAACAGTGGATTTCTAACCATGAGAACATTAAAGTAAAAGAGGGCACAAACCACCAGCAAGTTTAAAGTGCTCTTCACACACAGAGACACACACCCTCCCTCACTTTCCTGCCAGGACAATTGGCAACATCAGCAAATAATGTAATTTGATGAAAGGCTGAGGAAACTATCATTAACAGTATTAACAGAAACCTAAAATACTAATTTTTTAAGGAATTAATAGTTTGGGGGATTTGAAAAGCTACCAATAGCAGAGCTAATAAAATTGACTTTTAAAAATGAGTCTAAAACTACCAGAAAAAAATTAGCCTCAATGCTTTTTGAATGTCAAATTAGTTACTGATAGGATATCACGAGTCTGGAACCCAGCCTCAGCCACCTCAGTACAGTTTCTAGCAGCACAGTTGATGCAGAAAGAATGACATCAATCAACGTTCCTGAAGACCTCGTGGCTAGACCTTCCTTCAAATCCATGTTTTTAGTGTCTTAACATACTGCACATGGGTACAGAAGAATAAGTGAAGATAATATTCGACAGAGATTATAAAAGCATGAACTATATATACCACGTGATGACACAATGAACTTAAAAAGCTGTATTTCCTTTCTTCTCAATTCACTTTAAATGTTAATATTCACTATTTAAATTTTATCCTTTGCATCTTTAGCTTTTTTGCTCTCTCCTAAAACAAATAATAAAAATATACTGGTTTGGAGTTTGTTCTATGCATTTTCCAAGAGCCAATCAAACAGTGACTTGCACTTCTCCTCAATGGAAGTCTTTTCCATCACTTCATAGTATTTAAGTACAGCCTGAAGAAGGTCTCCCACTTTCCAGCGTTTTTCTTGTAATCGTTTTGAAAGCTAAAAGACAGAAAGATATGTCATATATTAACAAAAACAATTTCATAACAATAAAGTTTTCCTTTTATTTTTAACATCGGCTAAAACTAAGAATTCTGCTGTTTGTAATACAATATTGTTTCCCAGTTATAACAAAGTCGTATCCCTAAACCACCACCCTTTCCCACAAATTAAACATCTTCCTTTCCTGCCCTTTATAAATACATCAAGTCCACAGAATGACAATTTGGGATTGCTGGAGACAGAACTCCATAAACCTCACCAAGCGGATATTCTTTGTGGGAGTACAGATGTTACATTTCTACAGGAAATTCTTAACCTAACTAAATACATCTGCCACACCCTCAATAAGAAACATAAAATAATAAAGACATCAAGCTTAATAAAAGGATGTGGATTTTCCTTCCACAACTTATAGTCTGGCTTTTTCTTTCTTTGAATATACCCCTCTAGCCTCAACAGAAACATGGCTTTCTAAGTTAAGAAATGCTAATGTTTCAAAAAAAAAGTTAAATATTGTGGTCATAATACACAATATTTGCAACACAGTATATACAAATATCAAATCATTATGTTGTACACCTGAAATTAATATAATGTTATATATCAATTATACCTAAAAAAAAGTATATACAAGTTTAAATAAACTATCATCACCAATCAGAATGTCTTCACTCATTTTTTTTCTATTTAGTTCTGTAAAAAATAATTTTTATAATCTATATATGCTTAGTTTTTTAAAAAATAGCTTTTGAATTATATCTCAATAAAAGTATAATTCATATACCATACAATTCACCCATTTAAAATGCACCCATCAATGGTTTTTAGCATTACTGGCTGAGTTGGACGCAACCATCACTACAACCAGCATCCGAACGCCTTCATCACACCACAAGGAGAGTCTTACACGTCAGCAACACTCCCCACTTCTCCCAACCCCCTTAACTCTAGGGAATCACTACATTCTGTCTCTACAGACTTGTATGTTGGCCATTTCATATAAATGAAATCATTTGTATGAAACAATCTACTTTTCCACGATCAATTATGACCGGCTTCTTTCACTTGGCATTAATAATTTCAAGGTTCCTCCATGGTGCAGCATACATCTACATCATTCCTTTTCATTGGTAGATTGCATTGCATTGCATGATTTTATTTATCCACTTCTGACCTATTATGAATAATGGTGCCATGGACATATGCTTTCATATACCTAGGAGTGGAATTGCTGGGTTATACAGTAATGCTGTGTTTAACTTTTTGAGGAACTGGCAGAATGGTTTTCGAAGTTACATGGGCACAAGGTCTCCTTGCTCAGGTGCTATCACACTCCGATCTGTCCACAGCCTTTCTCAGCCTTCAGTTTATCTGTGACTAAACAAAAATGTTTGCCTCCCAAAGGTCAGTTCTACCCATTCTGTCTCCTTGACATTTTATTTCCTGAACATCCCTTTCTGCCTTATTTTTTCCCTTTACCCCAAAACAGACACCTAAACTGAAAGAATCCAAAAAAATCTAAGTAAAAACAAGTAACAAAAACAGCAAAAAAACCCCACAAACCCTATTTTTATACAATACTTTTTCACATACTTCTTTTAACAATACTTTTGTCAATTCTGTACCAGGAATCAAGAGTAACTGGACTGTTTCTTTTTTGTTACTATTGATCATTCACATTGGTTATTCATTAGACTACTCTATACCCTACAGTAAGATTAAACCAAAATTCTGATATGAAAATTTCTGGGACAAAAAACTTAAATTAAAAATCTTGACTAACAAGGTGCTTGGTATACAGTTAAGTTCTCAATAAAAATACCCAATTAATACATCAATCTGAATGTTTTATTAGAACTTTATTAAATAGTCAAGTGTTCCACTGTTCCTTATTGGATGTTTAACCTTATATTGGCTTTTGATTTTGCTAGCTTCTCATACTAATGAAACTGGATTAACAGAGAAAGAGACAAACTAAGTACTAGGCACAATTATAAATCAATTAAATAGAAAGAAAAACTCAATCTTTTCATAGAAACACATGAAATGTTTATTAATGGCACCTAACTTTTGAGAACTTAGGATGTGCCAGGCACTAGATTAAGCAATTTTTAATTATTATTATATTTAATCCTCACAAACCTTTGTAAATTCTATACTCACTTCCATAGTACAGATAAGGAAGTTGGTGAATTTGCCCAAGGTCACACCACTAGAGAGTGGCAGAGCTGATATGTGAACCCAACCATTACACTCCATCGCCTAAGCATTTCCCCACCCTGTTATCAACAGCCATTTTACTAGATCAACTGCCTGACACAGAACACCATGTACTGTGAAATGTATCCTCAAAGCCACCCTAGAAGGCAGATACTTACTTGTATAAACTCCTTCTTTGTAGAGTCATGAAAAGAAAGTTCCGAAACTTCAGCCTCAGAGGCAATAAGCCACTGAAGAATGATCCTTAGTTGAGGGTCTACTGTGCATGGCTCCAAGTCAATATTTGTTATTAGCAGAGTCTTTCCATCTTGACCCAAACCTGATATTTAAATTTAAACAATATGAAGTGAAACTCATCAATTCTATTATCAATACCCTGGTTTCCAAGGACATGTAAGTATTTTCCATTTCTTAAGACTCCAATGAATGCTGAGGAAAAAATCCATCCTTTCTTAACCATACCAAAAAATAAACTAAAACATCTTTCTGAAAGGGCAAAATAATGTGAAAGAAAAGAATAACTTCAATTATCCACTGAGAGTACAAACGTAAAACTCTATTTTGAGGCACTGAAGTACCATAACTGCCTTCATTTGTGTCAGAATATAATCCACAGGTAAAGGTAGAGAAAATAAAACCATAAAGCTAAGATTATAATCAAAATACAAATAAATAAAACACACAAACAAAAACCTCAACTAAACATATTAAATGGACTTTAAGAAAGCTTTCTGAACTAAGAGAAACAACAGTAGCAGCGAATATATGTATAGTATATATTTAAGCAAGTATTGTTCTGAACTGTTTAGCTAACACAAAGTCCCATAATCCAAAACTACCCTGTGATACAGAAACTACCATCATCTCCATTTACAGGTGAGGGACCTGAGGCAGAGGGAGATCCAGGGTCTTACAGTGAAGCAGTGGCTGAGCTAGCATGGGAACACAGGCAGTCTGGCTCCATGCTCTTAGTCACTTCATTCTTTGGGCAAAATAGGGGAAATGCTATATGCAACCACTTAAATCCCAAAAGGCAGACCAGGGAATTTTCTGGTACATTCCTATTATAAGTAAGGTATTGCTCTCACATTTGTTTTCTTTTTTAATGAAAATTATGTTTTCAACATAAAGTAGGATGAATCCCTATTGACTATAAAACTAATGATTTAACACTGCTGCTTAGTGATGTCTAGTAAGCAGTACTCAGGCACGCAGCCCCCACCCCCCCCTCAGGAGGGAAGCAGCAGGCATTGAGCTGAGTTGTACCAGCGATGGAAATTTGCTAGTAAATGACCCCAATTCATTTTTATAGTCTGCAGGGCATTCTAGACCACTGCTAATTATTTTTAGGATATGTGTCAGCCCCTAACTTTTCATTGAAAAAGTTGGTCTATGTTATTCTCTGAAAATAAATGTACTGTTTTTTCTCCCCTCTCTCTCCCCACTGACTGTCAATCAAAAAGGGGTTTTGTGCACTATGGCACCAAACATGGGCCACTTTATAATCCTGGTAGCAGTCATGGGGTTTGAAGCTGTCTCCCCAAGGCTTGTCTGTGCTACTGGCTTTCTCAGTTCAGACCCCCTGATTGCCTGAGAAGGGACTGACATTCTAAAATTACAAACAGCAGCAGCAACAAAAATGAGGGCTGTTTCTTTAGAAGTTCCATAATTTTTAATCTTTCTATAAATCTATATCAGTCTGTCTCCTAATTTACCAATTTCTAATTTTAAAAATTGGTAAATTAATTGGCTGCAATTTTCTATATAATGAGAGATGACTATAATCTCACAAACTGGGTGGTGACATATATTTATAAATAATTAATCTCCTGATTTTTTTACCTACTCACAAAAGAAATGCTGAACAGCCTGGCTAGTGCCAAAAGTAAAAACTTCTAAGTGCATTTTATATTGATACTAACTTGTATCTTCTTTTCTCGTAATCATTCCTCAGTAAAGTTAGTATTCATTACAGAAAATATCCACATGCATTTATACCACATATATAGCTTTTGGAACAACTCTGCTCACACGTATTACCTGGGAAAAAGTATACAACTTTCTATATTAAAAAATCAACACATTTTTAGTTAAAAAAAAATAAAGCAATTACCTAGCCTATCCATAACTCAGAAAGTATCATGCTACTTCTACTTTATAACTGATGAGAAAAACTTACTTCTAGAAGTCCTATATGAAGAGAATGGCTTTGTAGCAGAGGCATTAGAACTCTAATATAATAATCTTACTAGATGTAAGGATTTTAGCTCAAAAATTGGTACACTTTCCTAAATAAGAAGAGCACAGTTAGTAATAAAACTCACTGGAAACTTGGGTGTTATAAAGTACATTTCAAGAAATTCATTTTGGCAATTTTACCAGTTTACCCACTTCTAAAGAAATGATAAAAAATCACTGGTTCAAAATCAAATATCTCAAACAGTGTGCGTATTTTTCTGTGCCACTCTACAGAAGGAATTATTAGTATTTTCATAATTAAGAAAAAATAATACTTGGGAGAAAAAAACAACCACCTAAATACAATGAAAATTCAGCTTCAACATGAACAGTTTTTATTCACTCAGACAGTCTGATACATTTGGATTAGGGATTACAAATCACAGGAACTCTGTGACCAATGGTATCTAGTATTGACATATTCAGAAGTACATTCATTAAAGAAAGATTTGAATATTTCCTTCAAATATGTGTATGTGTGACTGTAGAACTGGAATTCAGAAAGAAATGTAAAGGGCGAACATGATTTATATAAGATTATCATTAAACACCAATTCTGGAAGTTACTGGTTTGGAAGAAAAAAACTATGACATAGGCCATAGTTATAATTATCAATATCTTATGAGTATAGATTTTAAATTTTGAAAAATATAACTATATAGAGTTTATCATAAATTTTCCTCTCAAATAATTGAATAATTCTTTTAAAGCAGCTCAGTCTTTATATCAATGAGTACTTTAATAGTTTAGCAATCAAATAATACAAACTACTCAACAAAGGAGCTGACACTGCGTAAATTAATTTATGAATTCCATGATTTATAATGCAAATACCCTTATTTGTAACAACACAGAGCCTAACTGATGAAATGCACAAATACAAAAATTAAAGACTCTTACAAATTGTCAGTTACCTTCTACATCATCTCCATGTTCTTCATCTTTATCATCTGGTCCATCACTTTTTAAATAAAAGAACAGAAGCAGTTTTTTAAAAAAAGCTTTAATAATGTTATTCAAACCAATTTTTAAAATGTGGTAAATAATGAATGTTACAATATGATATGTGACATTTAAAAAGGGGAGAAATGACAATAAAAGAGGAAGCTTTGCTTCTCACACCATTTCATGTTAAAATCTGAATTGTAAATGATGCCTAGATAAGTTATCAATAACCAAGATGTTCTACCTGACCATTATATACAGAGTACCAAGTAATTTCATAATAAAATTTAATTTAAAATAATTTGAAGCCAAAATATTCTAATTTGGTTTTAGATAACAGAATTTGAATATTATAAAATCTCACAAATAATTACATAAGTATTTATTAATGCTTCTGCTGATGCCATTTATATATTTTAATGTAGTAAAAGCACATTTTTCTTATATATGAAATAAAACTACACACAAAAACAAACAATAACCAAAACAAAACAAAAAACAGAAATCCTGTAGGAAGCAAGCTCTTTTTAATGAAATAATTGGTAGAATGAAAAATAGCAAGCAGAGCAAAACATGCATAAAAGCAATACATTTTGCAATTGATGTCAACCATAACTTAGCATAGATGAATTCTTTTCATTAGATGTAATTTATCAAGCAGAATCATGTCAACATATACGAGAAAAGCAGCTTGATACATATTGGCAGTGTAACCCACATTGTTTTAAGAATATGGCATCATGCATTAGTGGTGAAAAGACTCATCGGTTTTTAAGTTTCTGGACTGGACCAACCTGTCTGATGTTGGAAAGGATAAATTGTCCTCATACAAATCTCCTTCTAAACCAAGACTGCTCCAGCTACTGCTGTTACCATTACTGCCAGAGGAAGAAAAGAACAGAGCTGAACTAGAAAATGAATAGTAAAGACAACCTTGGTTTTCCTTGGAACAGCTTCTGTCAGTGGTAACTGGATGTTCTGAAGCTGCCACAATGGAGCGTGGCATCCACAGGGGTACAGAGTCCACCACTGCTATTACAAGAGTACCTGACAGCTTCAGAGACTTGGACATTTTCTTACTTGTCCTCAAAAGATCATAAAAATCATTCTAAATGTAGATTTATTTTAAAGATTAAGACAACATAATGTCTTTTAAGACAGCAAGTGAATGCAAGAAGCTGTTTCATAATGAAATTAATGTCTGTCAAGTGTTATGATATAATTTGTAGAAAGCCAATATTCCTCAGTTTGGAATAAGTTTAAAAAGAAAATACCATAGGTTAACATTCTCTCAGGTTTTTACATAGTGCAAACCATGATGGACTTGGGGGAGCAGGGAGTTGGAGAAAAAAAGTTTTCTGATTTTAAAATACTCTTATTATGTCAATTACCTTCATTTCACATATTATATATGATTCAGTAGGTGGCGACTAATACACATTTTCCTCAGAATACTGGCTAACCAAGGTTTATTCAAGCATTACACTGGTTTAGTCAGCCAGTTACTAAAGCCACACAGGTAACTTCTTATACTATCCAATCAAAAGGAGAAAGCAATCATATCCTAAAACTTCAGCAAAGCAATAAAAAACAAAAAGCAACTGTGTTCAGAAACAAAACTAAATTCAATCTTTCTTATTAAAACCTAAACATGCAATATTTTTAAATTCTAATCATTAAAATAATTAGTAAGCACATTAGTTTGCAGTGAAAGCAGCTATCTTTCCCCAGTATTAGGCTAGGATATTATAAAAATTAATATGTATACAAACCAAAATTTTGGTTGTAAAAAAAGAAATAATATAATCACCTTATAGGCATCAGTAAATGTTAACACAATTACTAAGAAAAAAATGATCATTTAAAAGTTCTAAGTGGTTTCCAAGCAATCTTGAATAATTTACATATCCATGTTTACCACTATCAAAGTGTGACAAACTACAATGTATGAGGGAATAAAAGGTAAAACTGAGTAGTATCTTTTCATGTATATTCAAACAAATATAGCTCTATCATAAAACTATTAAAGCAACCAGAATCTTGCCCATGTGGTCTGTTTTCAGACAACCCAGAAATGAGAAAACAGAGAAACCCAGAGTGAACAGGGGGCACCAGCCAGAGAAAACTAATGATATCAGACACTGTGTTCACTCCTGTTAGCAGAATGGTTACCCAAATAAAAAAAACTACAAAATTCCTACCCATTTAATTAATCATAAAAATCTATCACCTTAGTATTAGATGAACATGAAAAAATGTCCCTCCACCTAACCTCATTTCCCCTCCCATTTTGCCCCTTGAAGTGAGATTTGAAGTCAGTTATTTATAAAATGCCACTTCTAACTAGGATGGCCATGTGTGACTCTTCACCTGACCAGGGCACTTGTGAAGATGACAGGTGTCACCATCAGTGATTACACCAGAGCAGATGTAACCAGGATTGTCTTAAACAAACTGGAGGTCATTAACCCTTCCCAAAAAAGACACGACCTTAACTAACATCAGGAAAGTTACGGGGCCATTTTGATGCCTCTTACAGAGAACTGTCCTTCTCCCTGTCCTCTAAAGCAGTGATTTTCAACCGATGTTCCTTGGCAGGCACCCAAGTGCACCACAAGAATTTTTAAAACATACAATACCTGACTATTTAATCAGGGGCACTAACCTCTATTCTCTTAAGACTGTCAATTTTAAAAAATAACAACAGCCAACACAACAATATCCGTCTGATCTGAATAAATCAAAAGTATACCTGTTTTTTATTCTTTTTGTCAGATCAGCAAAAACTCTGTTTTTTGGTGTGCTACAGAATTTTAGTAATTAAGTGTGCCATGAGATGAAAATGGTTGAAAATCACTGCTCTAAAGAAAAAGGTACCCTCCTTTCCTCTAAAGAAAAAAGAGTAAGAAAGAAAAATTTTTCCTTCAAATTCACAAAATTTCTAGGTAAAGCTTAAAGGGTATAAAATCAAATGTATGCAACATTTTTTCATATCGACTACTGGCACATCCAGAGAAAATCAGCTAGGCTAATTATTATATTTAATAAATGTCAAAACCATTAGAAATATATTATAAATAATAAAATACATTTTGAAAATGACAGGTTTTCAAATTCATAATTTTAAATAATACTCAATATAAATTTATAGCTCACGTTTGAGGTCTTAAAACCCAAACTGTGCATATACATGTAGAATTTTAGTTACCTTTCACTCAGATGATGAAAACTGCTGCTTTCATCCTGGTGTTCATCTTCGAAACTTAAATTGGACCAGCTACCAGTGCTGTCATCACCAAGACTGAGATTCATCTGCTGGCTACCAGAAGACTCAGTTGACTGAAAGTCTTTTATTTCTTTTGGACTAAAGAAAAAAATATATAAATTCAATCCAAAAGCATCAGATGTTGAGTTAGAAGCCTATTCATCTGATGATAGAAGATAACGAAAGCAAGAAACACTATGCTGAGTCAGACCAGTGGTCCACCTACCTGCTTTGTTTAGTCTGCCAAAAAGAGATTGCAGGACACCTTATTAATTTAAATTAATGGAGGTACCTACCAACACCCATCCATCCCAAGTGTGTCATTTATCTAAATTCTCTTTAAAGCAGTTCATATTTACTACTGGGACCACTATGAAGGAGCACAAGTTCCTAAGTTTTCCATCTGCTTTATAAGATAGTAATTCCATTTGTACAAAAACAAAACAAGACAAAACCCTTTTTATGGCTTTAAAAGAAAAAGTAGTAGTTCACAAAATTCTGGTACTGTCAATCAAGCTTTTAGTTAAACTAGGAAACTATCTTCAAGCCTTTGAGTGTGGATCCTAACCCTAACCCTTCTCACTTTTTTCCAATCAAGAAATATTTACATATTTATTCTATCTTCACAAGAAAGGCCATTCATTGTTCAATTGCTGTATGAGGGAAGACCCCCCCGCCCCAAAAAAACAACCCGGAATTATCTTCTGGAGGGCAGGCCCCTTGCAGTACAGGCTTCCACTGCCAGGTGGGTGTTCAAGGAACCCATCTGTATCAGTGCACCAGCTGGAGCTATTGTGAGAGGCTGTGTTCCACTTTAGTGAATTTTTCTGAAGATTCTTTCAAGCATTTGCCCATGTCATAATGGGTGATTTACAAGCACATCTGCCCCCATAGCACTGAGTGTTCAGCAGTTTTCAACCAAAAACAGTATGGCATCCATGCCCCACCCTCTCTATTCATCCAATCTCAACCTGAGCGGTTTTTTGTTTCCCCAGATGAAAAAAGTCCTCAAGGGAAACATTTTGCCACTGTGGAAGAGGTGAAACAAAAAATGGCAGAAGCACTAAAAGTCATCAAAATTGATGAGTTCAAAAACTGTTTTTAGCACTGGCGAAAGTCTCAATAGGTATTTTGCATCAAATGGAGAACATGTGGAAGGTGACTGAAATTTAAACGTAAAAATACACACACAATTTTTTAGAAATAAAATTCGGGTTTTTTGGGGTCCCCTCTGGTAACTACCCATACTACATTTTATTCTCAACGTAGCATTTTAAAGTTGTATTTTTAAACATGAAGGGGGAAAATGTTAGTCCTCTGATCAAAACCCTCTAGTGGCTTCTGATCAATTAGAATTAGCTAAATCCTAACAACATACTACTTGGTATGATAACCTCTCATAACCTCCACCTTATCTCTTACTACTCCCTCTGTCTCACTTACTTCAGCCACTCAAGCCTCCTTGCTGTTTCTCCAAATGCAATCTCTCCCCTTTGCATGAACCGCCCCCCCTTGGTTCTCATGTGATGTCTCCCTTCACCTTTGGCTCTTTGTTCAAATATTACTTTGTCAGAAATGTTTCCCCTGCTACCTGTTCAAAACTGCAAACCAGCCCTACCTGCTGCCACCCACCACCACCAGCAGCAGTACTAACTCCCTTCTTTGCTTTAGTTTTCCTCCAAAACAATTATCACCATGTCACATATACCACATTTTACTTATTCACTGACTGTCTTATTCTACTATAATTAAAGTCCAAATGAACACATATATTTCTCCCTGTTTTACTTACTTCAGTATGCCCAGTGCCTAGAATAGATTCTCAATTGCCTGCCTCTTTGGAGCAGTTCTCATTTTGTATTTAAAATATACTAACCAGAATTATTCTAGGCATTCTTCATTTTTCTTTCATTCTTTAATTTGGAATTATTAAGTACTATGATGCAGTGTCAGCTATACAGAATTTACCAAACACCCAATGATAGCACCAGAGATATTGAAACTACAGATAAGGGAGACCTACCAGACTGTCATTGCTTAATTTCATTCTAGCAAGTGCCTTTTATTTTGGTCTTTTCATCTGACATCCTTGTAGACTCCGACACCGGTTTATGATTTACTGTATTCGTTAACCTTTGTGGTCTTTCTGTTTTCATAGAATGGATATACTACATCCCTATTTACCTGGTTGCTTAACAAAATATAGACGTCACCTCAGAAGCCCATTTGCATTGCCACATCCTGAAATGAGACTCAATGGTTTGGCAGAATGGACTTATTGTCAGGAGTAGGTGGTTGAACTGGCTACAACAATCCCGTATCAAGATGATGATGCTTCGAGGATTCCAGCCTATCCCTACTTTGGAAGAATCAGCCAATAGCCTCTCTGTTCCAGTCTCAAATCCCATTCTTTTGTATCCCTTAGATCAGGCAGGGAGATTTCCATACCCTACAAAGGCAGGGACTACACCCCTTGTCAGCAGAAAGCAGTTATTTGTAAGAGAATCAACTCCCTCATCATCACTCCTAGAAGATTTTAGGGATGGAAGTCTCTGAGGGGAAAATGAGACAGGATAGTAAGAAGCTAGGAAATTCCTGGGCAAGTAGAATGGGGAAACAGACAAGAAAATTAAATGAAGCCAAACAGTTAAGCAATTTACAGCCAGCTAGTGAATAATAAGGCCTTATCTCTCCTGACCAAGAACACTTGAAAGCACTAGTTTATACCTCTTCTCCCTAACCAGAGAATACATAACCTCCCTGGTCCTAAACCACAGGCCTCTGGGGAAGAGAGGAAGAGGAATTCTAATGCAAATTGAGAGTTAACACCAGAACAAAGGAGCCAGCTTGGGAAAAAGTTGCAGACTTCCCTTTCAGCTCCCCCTCCCAAGGAAACAAGAAGGCCTGCACTCCCTCTAGAATTGCCCTCTCCCAAATTCCTCCATTTACCCTATATAAACTTGTTTCTGAAAGCTCAAGGAAGGGTGGATGTTAGGGTTTTAACCCACCACCTTCTCAGATTGTGAGCTCCTGGTATTAATAAATGCACAATTATAATCCAAGTCCTGGACACATTTGCCATCAGGTTTCAATTCTGCCAATTCTGGAGGGACAGGCTTCAGGACTCTCCAGGAAGTCTGGTATTTGGCGGGGAGTCCCATCAGCTGCCTGGACTGTGGGCTCTAGCAGTATGGATTTGGAGACTCTCTAGCAGCTGCCACGTGATTTTACTTGGGCACTCTCCTTTTCCGACTCTCTGTACCCTCCCCATTGCCATCACTTTTCAGTAAGAGATTGGATTTGCGCTCAGAAAGCCCATCTAGTTTAAGGCCACTGGCCATCCGGTGGACTACAGACCAAATCTGGGCTTTTCTGTAACAAATACCCAGTAAGCCAGTTTTTCTGGGAGGTCAATGGACTACAAACTGGGTAAGTCCCTGGTGTGCAGGACCAGGAAGGAGCCCCTGCCCTGACACTCTCAGCGGATGGTGCTGGTACGGCTCAATGAAAAACTGTAGGTCCCCAGTGTGAGATCTGGTTGCAGCACTCTTCTGGCTTGGGTATATAGACTTTGTGTATAGTTTGATTTCCTTGTTGTGTATACTGCTTTTAATTAATTATCTGTTGGGTTTGTTTCTCTATTCCTCCACAGGAGGAAGTCAGTGTCTGTTTGAGAGCTCTCCTTTGTTTCTCTTGACTGTCTGAAATGAAAGGTGGTGTAAGGTAAAATTTTAAGGCTAGTCCCAGTTTGAACTTCGTCTTTTGCCTTAGATTTTTTGTTTCTGTTTTAAAAAGAAGTGACTAGGTCTCAATCCCATCAAGAGACCATTAGGTCACATTTTGGCTGAATCATCAATTTAGTGCTATTAAGTCAGTGACTAGTTTTGCTAAAGGTCTGGTAAATAAAGTAAGATCTTGTATGTGCAGGCTTTATGTTTAATACCTTTTAAAGTTATTAACATAAAATCTGTTTGTTTTGCCTTGGTTTTCAGGAATAACTTTATCTTTGTCACAAAATCTGTCAATAAGATGACTTGGGTAATAATTAACTTTAAAATCTCATAATGTTGTTAAAAAGTAATAAATAGATATAACACTATAGTTTTAACCATAATAGAGTACCACATTGTTCTTTAAAAAAAAAAAAAAAAACAATTTTCCTGATATGTGCCACAATCTAATAGTTTTTTGGCTGAAATGACCCACTAGATGGGGTCTAGAAAAGAGTTGTTGTTTTTTAGTAACTGCTAAGTATTTTGGCTCAGAAGAAAATAACTCTTAAATATAATTCACATATTTTGTTCTTCTACAAATTCACTATCCTATTTGACACTCATGTACAACCCCTCTGTACAATACAGCTTTGTGAAATATTTAGGGTTGTTTTCATGAATCAAATATTTATGAGAAAAGGTACACCAGTGAAATAATCCAACTAATACCTTTAAAACAATCCATTTTAATGATTCCATGTTAAAGCTTAAAAGACAAACCATTTTAATTTTAGAAGGAAAATGTGAAACAGTATATGATATACACTAATCAACTTCGAATAGTCATCATTTATAGAACCCTAGCACAACTATTAATTAAAAAAAAAGAAAGGGAAAAAAATATGGAGTAACATTCTACCAGCCTGGATAAAAAACTGGAATTAGACAGCACTGGATTACTGAAAGAACTCCAAGGGCCTATCTATTCACCCAACTCTAAGAAGGAAAAGTGAAAATACTGAGAAATCAATAGCAAAGGCATTTGACAGGCCCTAGGATTATCTCAGAGACATTCTAATCTATAGAATTATCTAGATCTACAAAATTATCCTCCCATGAGGCTGAGATTGAAGGAGGGAAAGAAGGAGAAAAAAAGTTAAAATACCCTAAGGCCACTTTTGTTTGAGGAAAATTACTTCAATTGTAGAAAGTCCCAGCTTCAGCTCACCGCCACTTATTCATTCATACATTAACCACTCATGTCTACAATCATATAAGAAACCAATATATACCCATAAACAAAACAAATGTGGGTCAAGGACAAAGGTCCACAATTTTTTTCTGTCAGGGGCCAGGGAGTGAATATTTAGGCATTGCCAGATATACCAGTTCTGTCCAAAAGGTATCCAAGTCATGCAATACAAAAAACAGACATTTACTGAAGAAGCTACAAGAAACACAGTACATAGGACAATGATGCCTCAGTCCACTTCAAAGTAGGCACACAGTTCTTCCAATTGCCATCAGCTGCCCTGTTCTATTTTCCTGAATCTCATCGACAGTCTGAAATCTCTTCCCTTTCAAAGGTGATTCTAATCTTAGAAAAAGCCAGAAGTCACACAGTGCCAAATCTGGGCTGTAGAAGGGCTGAGTCACCTGAGTAATTTGATGTTTCACCAAAAAACTCTGCGCTTAGACATGATGCATGAGTGGGTGAACTGTCATGCTGAAGCTGCCAATTACCAGTTGCCCATAGCTGCAGCCTTCTAAATCATACAAATAGTTTCCCTGGAGGAATGTTCAAGCTTAATGCAAAAGTGGATGAAGATTTGTTGCTCTACTCACAGTCATTCTGAATGCAATGGCCGCACAGTACACATGATCACTCAGTGGCATCTACCACCCCCACTGACTAGTACAGTGAAGTCATCATTGTTGACACATGTGCATTCCAGTCCACTCTCTTTGGCTGCCAGGTTACATCGATGTTACACAAACTGTTCTCATTATACTAACAATGGCTGGACTTTTTCCATACAGACCTCATATTTTTTTGATTTTAGCTCTCAGACCATACAAAAGTAAGCAATGGATCTGTTTTGGCCCATGGGTAATAGTTTGTCAATCCCTGGTTTAGAGGAAAGAAAGCTACCTGATCACAGCAAAAGTGACCTCCCACAGTTCACCAAAACCTACAGAATCTTTTATCTCAAGAAGCTGCTACCAAATAATGTGGAGTCAAGGATCCTGACCAAACTGCATGGTGGAGAAAAGAAACAAGTCTTTGTCATAGCTTTGACAAAAGCTACTAAAAGATCTGGAATACCATGTAATTCAATTAAATTCCACCTCCACTTATGGCATTTTCTCTTTTCAGTGGGACTAACAAATACAATCCTACAAACTAATAATACAAATTGGTCTTGGTGCTTGCCCAGGAAAAAGAAGATTAAAAGCAAAAATTTTAACTAAGGTGTTAATACAGAGCTGCAGAAGAACAGGACACTGTGGTACTATCAGAAGGAAGTGTCCCTTTAAGCTATGGGACTATCAAGAGAAGTGGTGGCAGTGGCGATATGATGAAGGATTTCTGCTATCTCCCTAATAGCACTTTGGTTAAATTATGCTCTTATTAAAAAAAAAAAAACCTTACCTTTGCAAATAGAAAAAAGAAAATGCTATATAAAAATTTAATCTCAGAACAATAAGTAAACAGGGTAATACTATACACTTGCTGTATAATATTCTCCAGCTATTTCTTTGATTCACATTAGCTACTTCACAACTTTATGAATTTGGGCAAGGTGATTAGCTTCATCTTCTACCAGGGTAAATGGTTAATACCTTCCTTCAAAGGGCTATTGTGGGATAATGAACAATGTATGTGGAAGTAATCTGTAGGGTATAAAACAATACATAAATGTTAATAGAGAAAAACTGCCGATTTAGGGTTAGAAATAATCCCACCTTTCTGAATAGGACCTAAGACATATATGATCAGGTTTAACTTCTTATTTTACCATAAAACCCAAAAGAAATTTGAAACTTACCTGCTAATGGCATGTTCAACATTCCCCATCACTGATGTCATTATTTCTGTGGTAAGACTTTCAGAGAAGCTAACACCATCTTGTCCAATCCCACTATCAGCTGCCAAACTGGTACTGCTCAGCTCCCTCTCTGCTTTTTCAATAGCTTCGGCAACTATCTTCTCAGCAAGCACAGTCTTCTTATCAAGATCAACTTGAATTTGAGGGACATCAAGGTGAAAAATTCTAGTCTGATAAATGTTGTTAAATTTTGAATTAGAACCTGGCTTACTATGAGCAAGTGAATCATGCCTGAAAGAGTACTGAGGTGAATTTCCATTGCAGTCATGGAGTTCTTTATGGTCACAGTATCTGCAAGCTTGACTTGTAAGAGGTGACAACTTTTCTGCATAAGTTATCCTACTGGCTGCTTTTGTGGTCTCAGACACTTGGAAAACTGCAGATCCTAAACTTAGTTCTAAAGTATCATCCACTACTTTTTTAGCATACTGCTCTATAGCTTGAACAACATTCTGTCCATAACCACGCCCATTTAAGCTGCCTGTACTGTGGTAAAATCTGTGATTTTGTGAAGAGGGCTGAAAAGACTTAGTAAATTCTGGCTCAATATGAGACTCAGTATCTTCATCACATCCAGATTTCTCATAAAGGCAAGAATCTGTTGAGGATTTTGGCAAGCCAACTGTAGACACTGTGAGTTCTTTTTTAACATCTCTGGTTATGCTGTGAGCAAGAGAGGCTGAAAAACTGTAAAGTTCAGGCCACTCATTTCTGTATGTATCCCTTGTCCATTCACAAGTTCGATTTTTGCAAAAGTAATCTCCACTTCTTTTAATTTGTCTTTTATCCACTTCTTGGTGGTGTTCTTTATTTAAGAACATCAAGAGTTCATTGTTGATTTTCACCTGTGAGCTTTGCATGAGGAACATTTTTGAGTTGCACTTCATTTTAGCTGTCTTAGCTGCTTCTTGCAATCCTGATTTGACAGATCGATAGGCAAGTCTATTGGCATACTGATCCATTATTAACTCACTATTACCACCTTCTTGTTTTAGCACTTGGATAATGTGTCCTGCATATTCATCTGTCACACTTTCACAGCTAGGATATTTACACGTCAGACCCGACAGACAAGAGCTTGGTGGTAATGAGAGAATAAACGGATCAACATCTCTTGGGTATGCTACAGTCTCTATATTCGATTTCTCTTCTAATCTATAATCTTGGTCACCATCACTATAGCAACTGTTCTTCTTTTGCCTAAAAAGCATACAACTTCTAATTTTTGCTATTTTCTCAGCTTCTGTAATGACTTCTGCAGCCATATCACCTGCAAAATTGCATAAAGTTTGTAAATATTCATCTGAGCAATTTATCAAAGTAGGTGATACACTTCTTTGTCTCTGCACATTTGAGCAAGGACTCTGAATCTTGGGTTGTTGAGTTATTTTATTATCTAAATGGGAAGCTGCCATGTCAGTTGCAAAAGAAATGATGTGTGTGGCTAATGCTTCGGCAAACTGAACTTTCTTCCCTGAGTGCTCTGACTTCATATTCACTTCTGGATGCTCCTCACCTTCACTACTTTCAACTTCTTCTGAAAGAGATCGCATGAGTTTCAACATGAACTCTTCTTTTTCAATAGTATTTTGTTCATTTTCAGACAAACTACCAACAGATGAGTAGTGAGGTGTAGAAGGTGGTGTAGCAGGTGCAAATTCTTTTGCTAACTCCCCCTTGAGTTTTTTAGTTAACTTCTTGATATCCCATTCAGAACTAGCCTGGGAAGGTACTAGAGGAGTTGATGGAGGAGTATCAGGTATTACATTTCCATCTCTGATTTTCTGTTTATCTTCCACATGCAAACCATCTACACATGTAAGCACTGCAGATGAGAATGTATGCGAATGGGCAAAAGGGCCTTCTTGCCCAAAAGATAAGGGCTCTGGTGCTGTATTATTCAAATTATAGGTTTTCACTGATTTGTCCTTAGCAGCTTCCTTCAAATCAGGTTTCTGACCTGCCATAGATGGACAATGTGGTAGTGTCTCTGAAGAAAACCCATGAGCTATAGAATCTTTATGTTCCAAAACACAACCTTTTCCTACTGAAAGTGAACAGTGAGTTAAGTGATCTTGAGCATCAAGAAATTTGGGACTATTTCCCAAGGTCAATTGTGACTCTGCTCCAGAAATAGGCATGGCTTCCCTGCGTACCAAATTTTTATCCACATTTGGGATGATTGGTTTGCTTTTCTCCATGGAATGTTTAATAATAGATTTAGATAGTCGATCAACAAACAAGTCCTTATTGCCAGCTTCACTCTGTTGCAGTGTCTCTTGATCATAGCAGAAAAGAGGGTTTTTTTCCTTTACTGTTTTAGTTAAACAATCTGTGTGTTCATCAACTGTTTTTGTAACTTTGAATGATGTTACTGACTCTAAAGTTTCACTTACTATTGAATGTACCATTGCTGAAGAAAAGTTGCTAATAATCACAGGATCACTTGTTAATTTTGAAGAACAGTGCATTTCAGTATCATCATCAGTTGGTTTAAAATCATTCTGGTTACCTGGATTATGCTCTGAAGGCAAACAAATATTTCTGAGGCAGGCTACTTCCTCTCCATTGTTTTTTGTGGAAACATGTGCTTCAGTAGAATCACCATTCAAATTATTATCACTAGATGATAGAAGAGACTTGGACTGATATATATTAGATGAAAAGTGATATGGGAGAAGGGCACTTCCTGCCAGGGGCACTGGTATAGAAGTAACAATCCCAGAAGTACAAAATAAGGCCTCCTGCACAGTGTATTCTTTTTTATATTCCTGTGTTGGTTTTGTTACCATAATTGCTTGATTATTGAAAGTAGAGGGATATGTGGATGTCTGTGTCGATGGCACATTATGTTCTGCACTCACATATTTTATGTTATCTGTAGAAACACTAACTGCTGCCTTTGTTGTAAAGATCACATCAACTTGTGATAGCTCAATGAATGCTTCCTGTATTACAGATTCAGACAAATCTTTTGCATATGACTTCACTACTTTATCTTCATAATCAAATGACCAACATGATGGAGATGGAGGTGTTGGAGGATATGAAAACTGACACACTTCCATGATGCCTTCAAAAACAAGCTCTTCGGCAAGATCTGCAGCAAACCCAACAACTATGTTTGTAAATATCTGCTTCTTTACATGTTGTAAGTCTTTTAAAGCATTTGATAAAGCTTCACTCACCAAAAAATTAGCCAGACCACTAATGGCATGCTGTTTCAATGAAAATGCTCGCTGCCTTCTCAATTCATTAAATGCCATCTGAAAAACAGATGCTGTCAATTTGATGGCTAAATGGCACAATGCATTGGAAAATGAAGAGACTCCTTTTTGTAAATCTTTAAACGCACTGCCAAAACTTTTTTCCACAAGATCTGCTGCAAATTTTTGAATGCTGTCTCTAATCATTAAGGATTTATTTTTAGATTTACTTTTTTGGTCAAAGCTTCTACTCTTAACAGCTATGGTTTTATTTTCTCCCTTTTTAACACCATTAATGCTTGATGTTGTATTCGTTTGTTGGAGAATCGAGTCCAGTACCTCACATGAAATGCTATTTGCATAATCTTCATAGGTGAAATAAATAGAATCATGATTTTCAGGAATCATATCTCCACCACTATCTGTTTGGCAAAAACATTCAGCAGGTGTACAGCCTCCAAGAGGACTAAAAGCAGAGGATCGAATGGGGCTAAACAAGCCGCTGTCTTCCCCAGATGTCTTCACTGGGCGAGGAGAATCTGGAGTATCGCACAGGTTACTGTAAGGGGATTCTGGTTTACGGGGTGTGGGCTTTCTAACGTTAGCTGGGAGAGCTGGACGATCAAACTTGAATATTGGAGGATTCATAGTAGTGGTTACAGAACAAGATTTGTCACGTTTGTGCCCTCTCTTTTGCAATAGTTTCCCTACGACAGGATCTTCTAGAAATGGACAAGAAGTCTCTAAAGTTTGTTCTAGTTCATCAAACTGATCAAAACTATCAAAAAATTCACTTATTTCTGAGTCTGAATCCTCTATATCATCTTTCATCATAGGAATTTTAGGTAACTCAAGTTTTGCTTTCAAACTTTTTTGATATCCTTCTTCATCTAAGAAAATAACAGGACTTGGACTTGAGCATTCTGATTCAGATGAATAGGCAGGAGAATAAGAAAAAAATGTTTTCTGTGTGTCATTATCTTTAGCAGAAGCGTTAGATGACCTATAGACACTTCTTTGGATCCAAGGCTCAGAAATTGATGTTGTAACTGAAGTTTTCACAGGTTGTTCTTTATGTCCCAGAACGTTTAAAGAAGTTGAAGGTTTAACCAATGACTTCTGCCGCCCAGAACTAATCAGAATCCTTAAATCATGGGTTTCTAACTGGTGATCAGAAGTCTGTGAAGCAGCATCACACTGACTCTTCAATGCAGTAATGTTTGCTCCTATAGGAAAAAAAATTAAAATGATCAAATTAATCTTGAACAGAAATTTTTTTTCATTTAAATCAATGGGAACAGACTTTAAGCATAAAATATTTATTGTACCATGTCCTTTCTAAACTATGTTGTTTAAACATATTCATCCCAAGTCACTCTCAAACACAAATACAATTTGTAATAAAATAATCTCAATTTACCCCAAACTTAGGAATACCTACCTGGTCTATGGAATGATTAGAATGCTATCATATGTTACTAATATGTGACAATCACTAATATGGTGACCCGACCAGATAACGCCTCTCAAATTTGAATCTAGGCATGTTCCAAACACTTAGGATAATGAGGTAAACAGTACTACGAAAATAATTACAGATGTAGCAAAATTAAAAACCAGATAGCAATGAACTTAAAAACCACAAGAAAATTAAGTCCCTGACAATTGGGGGAAAAAAGGTTAAAAAGAATAAATTTCAATTGCGTAAGTCGGCCTTAAAACTTTTAAACACTGAACTTTAAACTTTAATCCCCTGTATCAAGAAAAACTCTAGTAAAGAACAAACCATCATTATGTGACTTTGAGGTCTCTTCTTCCTCTAAGTGCTCAAATGCAGTGACAAAGTCATCCTCTATGGATGACACGGACTGGTTAGTATCGTCATCATCTTCATTAGTGGTCTCAAGTTGGCACTTCCGATGCAAGTATGTGTCCAGGGTGTATCTCATACCAGCAGCATATTTACTTAGGAGACTAAAGATAAAATCAATTCTGAGTCTTGGTAATGTAGGCGGTGACACTCTCATGACACAAAGCATTCCAGAATGATGACTCTTGGGAAAGATGATAAAAATATTTTAATTTCAAAACATATTATATATACAAAACGTATTATACACGCAGAGCATTATACGTACAAAACATTATATAGACGTATAGCCTAGAAGTAACACAATCTCAGGGGGAAAAAAAAGAAAGAAGTATATGCATCCTGAAAGGCTCCCTAATTTTATAATGTTTAATTCTTTTTCTTCGTTCTTTCTCTACTTCTCTCACTCTCCAATCTCTTTTTCTCCCATGTTTCTATTATCCAGGTATTGAAATACTACCTACACTATCTCCTTAAATATTACAGAATTTACCATCCATTCATTTGGCAATAATGTTTTCCTATATTATTGTATAGCCCTGTGATTTTTCTTATTTAATCATTCACCTAATTCAACAACTACCCTACAAACTGCCTGAAGGCAGAAACCAGGTACTGTTCTATTTTTGTATCCCATTTTCCTGTAGCGCTCAGCATGACATCAATTTCTCTCTGATCCTAAGAAAATAATCCCTTCCTTTCACCTAATGTCCCTAGTTTTACCATTTATAATAATGTTTACAGCTCTAAGAATGCATCATTAGACTTTCCCATACATAGTATCTTTAAAAATATATACTACAAATGATGTGTTTAAAAAGCTAGAACCTAAATATAATAGCTACTCACCTCTCAAACAAAACAAAGTAAATATAAATGAAGAATATAATTAAGGACATGAGGTGAGCAGTTCTACTTTTATATGTAGACCTAATAACACAGTAGTAGTCTTTTACACTTGGAATAAGTAATCCAAATTTTAAACCTACTAAAGTTCAATTTTTAGGAAGTAAAAATTTCAAAACATTTTTCTGTGATGAATTACCAAGAAAACACCACTTAGTAAAGAACTAAAAGCTGAATGTTATAAAATAAATCACCTGTTTGAAATGGTAACAATTTTGTTTGTAAAAATACATGTCCACTTTACACTGAATTTTTTAACCAAAAAATCAGATAAAGTGTTTTCTAAAACATAGTGTGATATTAATATAAATTTGGAATTGGCCATAAATGGGGGGAAATTCCTATTGCTTATAGAAGTTCAAGAAATCCAGAAATAAATTTTCAGGAAAAAAACCTAATACATACTTGCATACCATTTATGGGATTTCACACATGGAAAATCTAAATAAAGCTATGACCAACATTATTCTATTCCCTCAATGATTTCAAAGCTTTATGAGTTCGATTTTTCATGAACCATATTTCCTTGAGTATGATTTCTTTAAAAAAAAAAAAAGAAACTTCAAGCATTTAAAAGTATAATACTCTCAATCAAATGTCACTGTAAAACTTGCCCTGAAAAATTCATTAGAAATGAGAAATTCAACTTACCTGATTTAAAGGACCATTGTTTATATCTGGTGGTTTATTTATATCCTTCATACAAATAATTTCATTTTCATTTAGACTACAGAAGTGCAATGAATTCAGAAGGTCTGGAAGTTCCAAAGAAACTGCAGCTAAATCCTAATTTAAAACAATAACACAATAAATAACACTGCAGGCCAACACTTTTGTTATAGTTCCTATGATACGGATCCCTATCCAAAAATTGTAAGATCTACTGGTTAATAAATTTTCCAGTTCATAATAGTTAACATATGCAGTTTATCAACCATATCCAATTTTTTTAAAACTCAAAAATAAAATGTACTGAAATTTTTTAATACCTGTTATTTCTGTAGCCTTTTAAACATATTAATATTAAGCTACCAAATTTTTTTACAGGCTACCTCACACATCATGACAATTAGGCATGACAGTTTTTAGCTGCAAATGAAAACCTGCAGTCCTTTAGGCTTAACTGTGACATTTTTCATACAGGAGTCTTGCCTACAGGTTGCATTTCATTGGAGGTTAAGTTTCGTATTTACAAAATACAAGTCTACTTTTTTGTCTTTCAGCTCTGAAGTATTTGTTAGACTTTAACTGAAGGAAAAGAAAATAGCTTCCCCCTCAACATTTGTCCTTTTATGTAAATATTTTACCCAGTTAAAAACTTATTAACGTCTTTGACCCCTCATACTTTCTTTTATGAGTTTATCTGTAACTCTTAAAGAGGAGGTAGAATAAGAGGTAAGTACTTTGGAACACTTCTCTCTTCAGCCTTACATTCCCAGGAGTATGCCCTCTCTTGTGCCTTCTAGGTATTTCCTTCAGGCAAGAGTACAATCAAAACACACACAGCTTTCATTTGTTATCACCTGATATGCATTGTTCACACAGAACCATAGTGTTATTTCTTCTTCTATTAGGACTTAACTGCCACAATAGGAAACACACGGCAATCACAAATCTTAAGAAACTGAGGTAAAACAAGGCATGCCTACCACATCTCCTGAACTTCAACCACTCTTCATGTGACTGAAACTTTCTTTTGCTGATCCTACTATCAACTCTCAGTCACTCTGTAAATTCCTTCATAAGTCAAACAGGCTAAAAATTTTGCATGTTAATATTCTTTTTACAAATTTTATCCTTTAAATTTAGTAATTTGATCTCATTTTATAATATAAGAATTTGACTGTTGAGGTCAGATTATAAAAACCATCCAAATTAAAAAACAAGTCTTGCACTGACTGGTGTGGCTCAGTGGATTGAGCGCTGGCCTGAGAAGGTCACTGGTTCAATTCCCAGCCAGGGCACATGCCTGCATTGAGGGCCACATCCCCAGTTGGGGGCGTGTGAGAGGCAACTGATCAATGTATCTAATGTATCTCTCTCTTCCTCTCTCTCTTTCTCACTCCTTTCCCCTCTCTCTGAAAGTAAATAAATAAAATCTTTAAAAAAAAATGAAAAGGTCTTACATTCTACCTAACGCACAGAATGGAGAAAAAGTTAGCTCAGTTTGCAGCCTTCTCAGATAAATGACTTTCGTGGTCTCCTAACCTAAAACTGCTTTCCATAACAAGAATGCTCAGTGAAAATGCTAACAGTGAAAATGTCCAAAGCACAGTCAAAAGTTGATCTCAAAATGCCACCTTTTACCTTTAAACAGGAATGATAAAAGAGGACTTCAAGTGTAAGTTTTTGGTTAGTAAGGCAAATTTTTCACGGTCTCAAAATTTTTTCCAAATAATCTCTTATAGCCCATTCTAGTTCAATAAACAGACCATACCTGTATGTGAGCAGCATCTGTTTCTTCATTAAAACCTAGAAATGTGACCTGAATAAAAAAGGAATAAAGCTCCATTAATGTGAGTTTTAACATTTTATGTCAGTTAGACTATTGACAACTGAGAAACAGAAAAAAAGCACATTAAGGCATTAAAATACTGACTGACACATATAAATATCAAAACATTATGTTGCACACCTGAAACTGTTTTATGTCAATTAGACCTCAAATAAAGTAAATAAATAAAAATGTTGACTACTTTGGACAGAATGATTAATTTTTTCAAAGAAGGTAGCCCTGGTTGGTGAGACTCAGTGGATTGAGCACCAGGCTGTGAAGCAAAGGGTCACCAGCTCAATTCCCAGTCAGGGCACATGCCTGGGTTGCAGGCCAGGTCCCCAGTAGGGGGTGCACAAGACGCAACCACACACTGATGTTTCTCTCCCTCTCTTTCTCCTTCCCTTCCCCCACTCTCTTAAAACAAAAACAAACAAACAAACAAAAAAAGATAGTGACAAAAGTGTTTCACCAAAGATCCGGCTCCATAATGCAGTTCTTCAACCTCCCCCAAATTCACTTCTTCAGCAAGTTCAATCAATTCTACTCCCATCACATATCTCACGTATATCCACTTCTCTCCATTCCCCCTACCACCACTTCTTATCTGTACTAATACAATCCTCTTCCACCTGATCCCAGTAACTGTCATGTCACCTGCCTGTTGATCAAAAGCCTTCCATGCTTCCAAGTGCAGCCCTGAGGCCCCAAGGCTCTGGATTAACTGCCTTCAATCTTCCCTCTCATTCATTTACACACACAGGCTCCCTTTCTGGGTTTAGAGTATACCCAGTACACTTGCCTAAGGGCTTTGCAGTATTGCCGCCTCACCCTGGATCCCTCTTCCCTGGATGTTTCCATGCCTAGCTCCACCTCATTCTTCAAGATGCAACTTAAATGTCATCTCTTCAGAGAGGCTTTCCCTGAGTAGGTGCTCAAGGTTACCTCCTTTGTGGCTCCCTGTGATTTCATCACTTATTTCCATGAGTGCCCTTACATGGAGATTTCCCTGCAGTAGTTTATATAAATTAAATTTCTAAAGACTAATGATATGAGGAAATATATAATAATAAAAGTAAAAAGGACAAGTTACAGAAAAATGATAAAGAGTATGCCCACAATTTCAGCTTTATTTAAAAAAAAAAAACACATACACGGGAAATAACTCTGGAAGGCAATATAAAAACATACAAATGATAATTAAGATGATGGAATTAAAAGTGATTGTATTTTTTCCACTTTTTTCACTGTGGTTTTTTTCCCCCTGCTTCAGAAGACTGATAGTCATTTTCTTTTTTTAATAAATTTTTTTATTTATTTAATTTTAGAGGGAAGGGAAGGAGAAAGAGAAGGAGAGAAACATCAGTGTGTGGTTGCCTATCGCACGCCCCCTACTGAGGACCTGGCCAGCAACCCAGGCATGTGCCCTGACTGGGAATCAAACCAGCAACCCTTTGGTCCACAGGCCATCACTCAATCCACTGAGCCATACCAGCCAAGGCAGTCGTTTCTTTTCTATGCTTTTGCTATTTATTTTTCTATAAGGAATGTGTATTGCTTTTATAATCTGAAAAAATGTATTTTAAACTTTATATTCCCTTTGTCTTTGACATCATTGGAAGAAATATTTTCTATTTGAAGACAGAACAGTAAACTGTGTACTAAACAAGCACTGGGACTAAAAATAGGAAATACTTAAATGATAGCAATATGGATAATCAATACTAGAAATTAAGAGAAAATAGCATAATTAAAATATAAAGCAACACACAATATACTTTTAATCTCTTTCCAATGACTCAAAAGCAAGTCAGAATCTAAATTAACCTAAGATTTTATTCTAATTTATTAGGGTTATTACTTCACAGAACTGTTAATTTCTAGAGGTCCAGGTAAACTGTTAACCTGTAGTAATTTGTCTCCTCATCTACGAACGAAACTTAAGGCAATACAACTTCTCCCCCACAGTTGTGAGGGTTAATCAGGTAACAAGAAGGAAAGTGTCTACCATATCACAGGCACTCAGTAACAAAGAGACATTCGATTAACAAATTTCCTTACTTTCCTCGAAAAAATACTTTGTGATATGTACACCCTAAAATGAGACAGAAATTCCTTCTATTCTTTCAAGTTTCCTTTCACTGAATACAAAAAAGAAAGTAAACTGACTTGGGGCTTTGAAGATGCCAGCAGAGCCTTATATGGCCCACTGATGGCCAAAGGCCTTGCCAAGGAATGTGGGCTCGGAAAGGCACAATGTAAGCGGCTGGAGAGACACAGGTTAGAAAACTAGGGCAGAAGGACACAGGAGACTTGTCACACTTGGCAACAACTGAGGAGATTAAGAGTGGCTCAGCTTTATGAAAATAAAGGAAAAAGGAAAAATAAGATGAGTCAAGGGCCAAAGAAATTGAGCTGATACAAAAACAGTCTCCAGTCAGAGAACACTACAGGCCTGAAAGGTATGCTCATCATCCTATGGAACTGCTTCAAACAGTTTCTCAAGGAATAGGAAAGAAAATCATTCCCAAATATAGGGATAATCAACATTTTTATCAGTACACTGATTTCAAAAAATTTTTAATGATCAAATACCTTATTTTTCAGATTCAATAACCTAACACCTTATCTCTATTTTGTTTAAGATTTTGTTTGTTTGTTTGTTTGTTTGTTTGTTTGTTTGTTTGTTTTTTACAGAGAGAGGAAGGGAGGGAGAAAAACAGGAAGAGAAACATCAGTGTGTGGCTCCCTACTGGGGACTTGGACCAAAACCCAGGCATGTGCCCCAGCTGGGAATGGAACCGGCGACCCTTTGGTTCACAGGCCCATGCTCAATCCACGGAGCTACACCAGCCGGGGCCTTCTCTCTCTCATCATAGACATGTTAATGGACTGTGGTTATATTGCAGAATAAAAATACCTTTTTTAGTAATAAATTCAAAGAATGGAGACATTGATGTAGCAGAGAAACAGCTGAGCAAGTGGTATGTCTTCAAGTAGTAAATATTTTAATTGCAAAATAAACTTATCACTACTTTTTCACTTTGAATCAAAGTACTGAATTTAAACAATCAAGAAAACTAACAATAACCCAAAAAAGATTATAAAAAAGTATATATTTCATGTTTCACAGTAGAACTTCAATATTAAAGTACCAGTTACTGAATATAGCAGGAATCATCTAATCCAGCACCATCTGCCTGACCAATGGCCAATAATGCCTACACATTGAATTAATGTGCTCATTACAGTGCACTGAGACAGTTATGTTAGTGGGTATTTAAACCAGGCACTTCTCATACACATATTCACATGTAAAGATTTTAGCCATTTTACAACTAGATCATGTAATTCTATGAAAATACATGTGCTTTATAAGGAAGGGGTACAGAAGGTATGTCAAACCTCAGTCAAACTGGCATGTTCATCCTGCTTTAAACAATCTTCTGCTGATACACTGCACAGTTCCTTCTCACTCTGTAATAAAGACTTTATAGACTGGAACACATCTTCACTGAAGCTCTGAAAATAAAAGACATTCTTAACTGAGTTAGTTCTTAGACAAGATAAAAGATCCAGGAGATGTTCTAGTTTTAAATGGAGAGTCAGTAACTCTCCAATTGATAATTCATTTGGTGTATTACTATATCTTTTGATAAATAAGAACTCAATCCAGCTAAGAGGGAAAAAAACGACCCAGGCATTCACCCTGCTAGAAGACCACAAGGCCCTCACACTCACTGAGTTCATTTACTCTTACCCTACATTAAAACCTAATAGACTGCATACATGATTTCTAAGTCATTGGCAGAACAGAAGAAACAATTTATATAAGGAGTGTGATGCTGTGGAAGCTACAGTAAAAGGGATGCTAACAACAGTAATTACTCTGTAATAAGGTGGTTATGGAGAAAAACAGACTAAATAACCACAAATAAGACTTTCCAGGGCCATTAAGACAGACATATGATGAGTGTGAGGGAAGGTCTTCCAGATTAGGCAGGAGAAGATGTAAGTACAAAGTACCACAGGTAGGAAAAAGTTACATAAAGGAAATAATACGCATTATAATCAGACATAAGTAGAACATTAATTTCCTTCTACCTAACTCTCCTTCCTCTAATTTGTTGATATGCTCTTCTATTGGAACTATCCTTATTCCCCCATTTTCCCCTGTAGAAATCCTACCCATTCCAAACCTGGGAAGATTTCCCATCTCTTGGTCAGAATAAACCACTCTCAAAGTTCCTACTGTATTTACTGCACATTAAGATCATTTAATCTACATTATAATATAATTACTGTTTTCATTATGTATCTGTCTTTCCTACCCATTAAACCATTGGGTTTAATTATTGGGGCCGGAGACTGTAAAATGTATTTAACTCATTTTGTTTCCCTACGTTTCAATACCTCACATGCTACAGGGTGGAGAAAAAGTAGGTTTATAGCTATGAGTACAGATTTATTCTTGTACTGTTATTTGTTAATTACTGTATTCTGTTCCATACAAATAACTGTAAGCCTACTTTTGCCCCATCCTGTATATGAATTCAATAAATGTGTGCTAATTTTAATAAACTGAAATTAGTGGAAATCTTCAGTCTGAAAGAACAGATACAAATATTAAATTAAAGCAGTTAAGAAAAATGTAGTTAAATTTGAATGTGAACTATCAATATGAATTCAAGATTCTTTGAATATATATACTACACTTTTTCATTGAAGGATTATAGAAGTAAGGACCCTCAGTAACAACGAGCATACCCAGCACCCACTTTGGTTTCTAAATACCATGTACCAATAAAAAGAGCTAGAGCTTCTTGGAAAATTGGTTAGTTCCAGGTCTGAGGTAGAAAAAGTATGAAGCGTGGCTGAAACATCTCACTGTGATGGAATGCAAAACAGTGCTCAGAGACGAATTACCGTAGGTCATTTCAAAAGAATACAGAAGCCAACCTGAAGAAATTCCCACCAGCTAATTCAGGACAACTTGGGCAATAAAAGAATAAAAATGGTAGTGGATTATAACAACTAAATTATTTTTAAACCTACAGAAGAGATAGATAAAAGGGTGATTTGGGGAAGAGCGCACCTTTACATAAGAATGCTGGTCAACAAATATAGACAGATGACAAAATGAGAAAATCCCATTTTGTAACTCTCCATGTAATTACTGATTTAGGAAAGGAACATCATTGTATACTAATCTACTGGATTAAAAGCTACCTGGGAACAGGATACTCACATTGTCTCACAGAATCACCCTGCAGATTACTTATTAATTACAAAAGGATTATGTGTCGTTATCTTGGAGATTATTATAACCTTGACCACCTGCCTGGTCAACCCTGGCATCTCCTGACCTGACAGAGTGGAAATACCACATCACCTTTGGGGGCTGCTGCTCTAAACCTAACCACAGATGAACTCCAAATATGGAGATTCTACGAGACAACTGGTCTTGACTTCCAAAGATCTGCTATCATGAGAAAAGAATCTCGACCACTCACTGAAAAGGACTAGGAGACTACAAAGACACAATACTCAAATATAGAGTATGAACCTTACTTGGATCCTTGATGAGGCAAGGGAAAGGTAACAAGGACATATATTTGAGACAATTAGGGAAGTCTGTGTATGGACTGCATATTAGATGATGTTACTGAATTCATGATTTTTTGAGGAATGGTAATGATGCCAATGTTAAGAGATGCATGCTGACATATCCAGAAGAAGAGTAAAATAATGTCTGCAGCCCCCACTCCCATATGGTTTCAGAAGTTGTGGAGGAGAGACTGTTTCCTGACATGGCTGCTACCAGACCCTGAGCTATTTAGATACCGGCCAGGACGGAGACTGTTTCCCATAAATGCCCTCAGAGACAATCTGACTACCCTATGCCCCATGCTGTGCTGGTTTCAGGAACAGGTCACTGCCCTGCCTGGACAAGCATAAAAGGCATTTTCCCTTACCTGGGACCAATCCAGTGTGTTCATCCATCCTGCCCTGTTCTACAGAATTCTTTAGTGCCTGCCAAGTATCACGGAGATTATCTACTTCCTCTTGCCACAGCCCAAGATGAGCCTATGTTTCCTTTAATAAACTGTTAACTGCTGAACTGGAGTGGCTTACTTCTTTCTTTGGTCTTTCCCTGCTCTCTGCTTAGAGAGGTAGATTTTTCACTCTGGATTTTTCCCTGGGTCTGCGTGTATGAACAGAAGGGAAGTCTGAATGTATATGTGTGTATGTATGTGTGCACATGTGTATAAACACAGAGATAGGATGATTATGGTAAAACGTAAACTAACACAGTGAATCTAGGTGAAAAAGTGTATGTGGAGTTCATTGTACTTTTCTTCCCCCAACTTTTCTGTGAGCTTGAAAATATTCAAAATTTTAAATGTTTTCATTAATGAGTGGAGGTTTTCAGGCTAAGATATGAACATGAACTCAAAAAAATAAAATTAAAATGAGAAATCTGAACTTCAACTACCAATATAAACTTATGACTCTAAAAAACCAATGGGCATTTCTAGTACCTAGATCTTGGTTTCTAAATACTATCCAGGGTTTTTTGGAGAAATAGCCAATTCCAGGTCTGAGGTAGGGAAAGCAGAAGGTGAAACTGGGGTCAATCTGCTGTAGCAGAAATCACGGCAGCAATCAAAAGAACGATGAGCCTGAGACAGAAGGACATAGGGACCAGCTGGCAGGGGCTCCCAGGAACCAAGTTTGAGACAATTTGAACAACATGAAATAAAAAAATTAGTCAATGAATAAATGACTATAAATAAATAAAGGGCTGGAAAATACAGAATTTTTAAAATTCACAAGTCCAGAGCAATAAAAATAAACAAATGAATGAGGGGAAATAAAGTTAGTTGCCACCACCGCAGGTGACTAGTCCACTAAATTATTACTCTGAAAGTTGGTACTAAAGGGCATTTACCCCGCCTTTATAAGGGATATTATGGTTCATCTAAGGTTAATAGAGAAAGCTTTTCTTTAAAAAGAATGTCAGCTAATAAATGTAAAGACAGAGAGAAAATTAGGAAAATCACCATTTTGCAACTTCAGGAAATAACAAATTCAGGAAAGGGGTATCAAGAAATGCCAAAAATATCAGATGAAAGGTTGTTAGGAAAAAAAACAAGATATATGTACACAACCAAGTATCATCCCATACATTATCAGCTAACTAAAAACTATAAAATGGACAGCTCTGACAGACTTACTACCTTACTCAATTGATTAATATTAGCATTGCTGATCATAGGAAAACCTGAAATTCTGTCCTCATATCACCCTATAATGTATTCTTGCCAAATATATTTAACCTGAACCTAATTAATCCTTTATACCTAATTTTAAATCTGTATAAAATATAGAAGAGAGAGAAACATTAGATAGCATATGAGAAAACAACCAGACAAATCCACAATGTGGATCACTGCACAAAACACCGACCTAGCCTGTTCAAGAAGTCAGCCTCCAAGGTATTTCAAAGAGAAAAAAAGGGGGTAGGAGGAAGGGAGGATTCTTCCATGCCGACAGTACTCTCATGGACATGACGAACATTCCTGAAAACGTCGGGATTCTCTATAAGAAGTGTGGCAAGCACCACACTACAAAGTGACACAGTACAAGAAATATAAGACCCCACATTGACACAGTTCAAGAAGGGCAAGGATTCTCTGAATACCCAGGGAAAGCAGCATTCTGACAGAATGAGTAGCTATGGTGGGCATACTAAGCCAATTTCCCAGAAAAAGGATAAAAGTGTAAAAGAATTTTGCACAGGTTTGAATGTGTTGAGCCCAACTGCAGTTCTAAGAGAATACTAACTTCAAGAGATACAAGCATTTTACACAATGGAATACTCCTCAGCCGTAAAAAAAAAAAAAAAAAGAAGAAAATCTTACCCTTTGTGACATATAGATAGACCTGGAGAATATTATGCTCAGAGAAATAAGCCAGTCAGAGAAAGACAAACACCATATGATTTCACTCATATGTTTGTTCACTCATATCTAATGAACAAACTGAACTAACAAGGAAAATAGAGACAGATTCATAAATAGCAGGATGACAGCTAAGTGGGGTGGTGAGGTGAGGGGGCAGAGAGACTGAGCAAAAAGAAAAAAGGACTCATGGACATGGACATCAGTGTGGTGATTTCAGGGAGGGTGGGGAGTTGGGGTGGGCATAAGGGGACTAAATAGTAAGGGAAAAAAATACAAATTTAAAAAAAGGGTACTAAATGGTAAGGGAAAAAATACAAATTAAAAAAAGAGAGAGAGCACTGGCTGGTATGGCTCAGTGGATTGAATGCCAGCCTGCAAAACAAAGCACCATCAGTTTGATTCCCAGTCAGGGCACATGCCTGAGTTACAGGCCAGGTTCCCAGTAGGGAGGGCACAAGAGGCAACCACACACTGATGTTCCTCCCTCTCTTTCTCCCTCCCTTTTGTTCTCTAAAATTAAATAAGTAAAATCTTTAAAAAGAAAAAGAGATGTAAGCATTGTGAACTGGGAGAATATAAGAAGAAAAACGGCCTCATGATCCAGTTGTAAGCTTCAGTTTTTGTTTTACTATGAAGGAAAAGTCTTCAGTTATGTTTACTGTTAAAAAATGAAATAATTTTTTAAATTTTACAAATAAATGAAAAGAGAAGAAATTTTCAGACCAAAGAAATGTAAACATGCCATAACTATCAAATGTAACTTAAGGCCTAGGAGTTTAAATGAATCCAAAATAGGAGCTGGAAGGGGGAAATCTATAAAAGACATTTTAGAGGTAATAAAGGAAATCTGAATATGGCTGGGTATGAGATATAAGGGGATTATATTTAATTTTTTAGATGTAATGATGGTATTATTATGTGGGAAGATGTTATTTTGGGAGAAGCATGCTCAAGTGTTCAGGGGTAAAGAGATACTAAGAGTTTAACTTTCAAATACTTCTGCCAAATAGTAAAACACAAACACACACCAAATAACACAAAATATTAACAACTGCTGAACACTAGTATTTGGTATTCAGACTTATGTCTTGGTGTACTATGCTTTTAAATTTTCAATATGCTTGAAATTTTTCATAATAAAATGTTTTTTTAAAAATAGAGTAGAAAGTATAACTCTCTTTGATTTTCCCAACACTTGGTTCCTAATAAATATTTAATGTACCTCTACTTTTAACACAAAGTAAAAGAAAATCTAGAGAATTCAACAACACCTTTCATTTCCCACATAAGCCATTAGGAAGTATTTTTGGCATTCAGCCATACCAGGAAAAGGGATCAAAAGCAGTGTAAGTGTAGGCATAACACACATATACATAAATAGTGTATGGTATTTAGATTCACATACTTTTATCTAAAAGAATGTCCAAGTATTCAAGTGAATTCAAAGCAAACCTTTACTGTGTGCCTAATATGGATAATGAGCTGAATAATGAAAGACATTAAAATAGTAGTACGAAATTTTAGCTGTGGCCTAATTCCTTATCTCAGGAATGTATTGGTAAATTCAAGTCAAACAGGTATTATGCTTAAAGAACAAGGTCATTAGCTTATTACTACATTTTGTGTGTATAATTATTAATATAAAGCAATCAGTACAATTTGATTATTAATTTAAAGCTACAGGCCCTGTTGCTAATATGAAAAAAATATAATATTCTATAGTGTACAGAAAATAGAAAGTTGCTCACTACTTATTATCTAATACCTAGCATGGGACCTGACCTATAATAAACACTCAAATTTACATTTGCTGAATGAATAAGGGGAAAACACCAACAGAGAGGTGAAAGTGGCTGAGTGCCCATAAAGGCAGAAGGTGGAAGCCCTCTAACACACCTGACAGCAATGCCCCTGGCAAAGTGGACATAAGCAGTGTGCTCTGTGCTGGCACAGACGTCTTGAGATGAGAGCAGGGCAAGACTGGTGACGCTGCTACAGGGTAAATTAGCCACCAAAATGCCACATGCCTTCAGTCCTTCTATCCCCAGGGAAAGGAGACATGGATGGATGGATGGATGGTAATAGTTTGGGGCAGAACTAAAGGTATATAAGAAAATTTACACCTGATACTCATGCTGCTAAAAATAAGATAGAAAACTATCTGCTGAGAAGAAATGGGGAGACACTGTGATCTTTATGTAACAAGGTTCAATGTCTTCATGATTTCCTATCACTATTGTCACTATTCCAATCTTTGCAGCATTTTAATGTTACTAATTTTAATGAGATTAATTTAAAAACAATATCATAGCTGCTTTAACAAAAAGAAAGATCATTTTTACTAAAACTATCACAAAAAGCAGTCTAATATAAAGAACTTACTTTTCTGACAGGTGCTCTAGTCTTCATGTGGATGTTTCTGAAAGTCTGGAAGGTCGCCATAACTATATTGCTGTTGTATGTATTAATGAAGAGTTAATCTATAAAACACGTAAAGAACACATATTAAAAGAAAACAATTTATGAACTTTAGTGACTTGGTCACTAAACATAGACATTTTAAAAAATAAAAACAAAAGTTCTGAACCATAAAAATTTATTTAGTAAACCAACATGAACCCTTGAAAAATGTGTTAATATTGGTGGCTTAATAAGGTACTAAATTATTATGAAAATCTTTTTAGGTTCAATATTATTAGTAGTAGTATATTATTAGTAAGTAGTTTATACTTAATCTCACTGTCCTTTTTATTGCAAATAAGAGTTTTGAAAACCTCAATAAAAATATTGGAAAAACCTTTTAAATCTAAAATACAGAATATCACAAAAAGATTCCCAGCCTTCTTGTCTCCCAAAAGTCACTCTGTCTCTATAGCAACTGTGAATGCTCCATACATTCTTACTTCTTGGGCAGGAAGGTTTGATAATATATAAATAAAAATGTGAAATCTGTACGTTTCAAATTAAAATCAGATAAACAAAAACAAATTCCTTATACAGTAATCTTAACAGCATACCAATGATTAGAGTTCAAAAAACATCCAAGTTTAATGATGAACAGTACTTAAAACACGTGCACACACATATACCCCTTAGGAGAACCTCTAAGTCTTAACTTTTTATCAATACTTTAATAAAATACCGTTGAGAGCTGAAATCAACTCAGCATTAACCACTCAGTATCGACATTTGACCACAGTAACTTGTTCACTCATTCAAAATGTACTTGCATTACATGCTATTGGTACAGGGGAGAACAAGGCAGGAAAATGTTTTATTACAGTGAAAGGTGGGAATGGGAATTGAATTCTAAATCATTAAATAACAAAAAATTTGACTCAATAAAGATTTAAGAAATGGTATAGTTTCAATCAAACAGGTCTTAAGACATTTTAAGACCTAGTAGAAATTTTAAGGACATTTGATTATAACATAAATTTTTTATTATAAAGAAATTTATATGGAAAACAAAACTTCAATCTAGAACTGGAAAAAAATCACTGAATTTTAGTGGAGTTCTAATTTTACATTCTCATATTATAGAGATAAAACTGAAGTGTGTGCACACGCACACCTTCCTGTAGAGATTACTAGATTCTAATTTTTAGACAAAGAATTACGATGGTATACTATCCTGAGTTAGATAAATCGTAGTAGTTTCTCTAACAATAAAATTTGATCAATGACTGGAACTGAAGAAGTATAGTACAGTAAGAAAAACAACAGAGGTCCCAACAGGGCAAGATAAAGAATGATACATCAGGATTCAGAAAAGTACCATTTCTGTCCCTGTTTTACCTCTCATTAGCTTTGTTTCCTCTAGGTAAACTGCAATCATCTCTGGATCTATTTCCTCAATATATACTTGTGTTACCTGACTTACATGGCAGGTTTATTGTAAGAATCAAGTGGAAAATAATTTATATGAGGTAGTTTAGAAACTATGAAACATATGTAAAAAAAAATTAAAATACTTACTTATGGAGCAAAATGAACAAGAGGACCAAAATTATCAAAATAAAATGTTGCCCTAAACAAGTGGCTCCATTGGTTGGAGCATCATCCTGTACACCAAAAAGTTGTGGGTTCAGTCCCCCATTGGGACATGGTGTATATGTTTCTCTCTTCCTCCCTCTCTCTCCTTTCCTCTCTCCCTCTCTCCAATCAATAAATGCATCCTTGGATGAGGATTTTTTTTTTAAGTATAAATGTAAAGATTTATATGACCAAAGCAAATAAATAATCCTTTTATTTGTCCCAGGAGCCTACTCACTCTCCCCCCGCCCCCAGAGTTCTCTTCAATTGCCAGAAGTTCTTAGAGGCAAATGGACTTGCTTCAAACTTCAAATAAAACATAATACAGAGGTCGACACAGGGTTCCAGAAAAGCAAAACTCTCAAACTCAGTACCCGAGCAAACTGACACCGATTTTCTGGAGGGCAATTTTGAAATGCATGTCATAACACTGAAAATATTCCTCCCCTATGACACAGCAATTCTACGTCTGGGAATCATCAAAGGAAACAATGATTCTGGACCATTAAGATTCTAACTAAAATTTAGAAAGCTCCAGGTGCTTTGCTAAGAGTATTACATCAACATCTCACTGAAGCCTCAGAACTGGCACAGTAGTACTCCAAGTTTATAATGAGAAGAACAGGCAAGGGGATATTAAGCAATTTATCCAGGCCTACACAGCAAGCAGTAGAGCTAAGACTCAAATCCAAACTGTCAAACTAATATCTAGATCTGTAACCACTCCTCTATAGTGTATAAAGGCATGAAAAGCTGTCCATCACACTTTATAAGAGAGAAAAATAAGCACTCAAGATGCCAGAAAAAGGAGAGTAACTAAATAGCCTAGAGTGCATTCCTAAGATAGCAATGGCAGCCATTTAAAAACAATGCTAAAGGTCAGACACACAAAGCATCTTTACTTTCTCTGACTCTTGTAAGGGTGGAGCTGAGAAAAGAGATGGGAAAAAGCTATCACCTTTGCAGCTGCTGGCTAATATGAGCAAAGATTAAACACTAAGTCACTGGAGGTTTCACCGGGAAAGAAAGCGACCAATTATCTAGATGAGCTGCTCACCTGAAGGTCGCCACATCGTGCACCTGACAAAGAAAGAGTTCCAAGGAGCTTGCTGGGAGGTCTGGATGATCCTAGACAATGTCCTGGATTTGACATCTCTAAGTACCCCAGTTCACTTTACCTACAACATTCCTGAATAGACGACCTAGATAAACTACTCTTTTCAAAGCAAATAGAATCCAATAGGGACCCACGAAAGAACATTTTTTTAAATAAATAAAACCAATATAAGAAGGAATAAACTAAAGAAAGAAAAAAATCCAGACAAATATAATCATGCCACCCAAAACTCACTTTATTTTCAGTATACTACCTCAGAATTTATATTAATAAAAAAGAGACTAAATTTAATTCCACATCTACACTTTGTTTCACTCACTGAAGAAAAACACATCTACTGAACTCTACTCCATCACTTTGTGTTTAACTTAAAACCATTATCTCACAAAGGAAAAAAAAATGACCAGAGAATATCTATGCAGTGGTCCCAAAAAGTGAATCCCACATGAGATTAAATGACTTGTACTTCTGGTACAGCAAACAAAAGAAAATCACTTTTGGAACTGATGCAAAGACAGATGGGGAGAAAGGAGCAGAGCAGGGTTTCTTCACCATCTCAAATAATTAGAGAGAATGGAGTTTTAGACAGATTTCACAAAAGGAACAAAAATACAGTACTTTCCCCTAGGACATATTTGTGTTATAATAAACTTTTCACTTAATGCTTTTTGGCTTTCTGACCTATTCTGGGTGAATAAAACAAGAGTCCTAAACAGGAAAACTAAGTGTGTTTCTCTATAGACAAAGAAACGAAAGTAAACCTAGATCATTTTTTTAAAACAGCAGATCAGAGACAAGAAGGTACAGATGAACATGGCAAGCAAGTCAAAAGTGAGCTTTTAGAGCTCAGGAAAAACACAGGATATAAAACAATACTACGACATCCCTTAAAAGCAGCAAAAAAGCAAAACAGATATTGCTGAAAACACCAAACACCGATAAAGTTTTAAGAAATATCACAAAATGCAAAAGAAAACAAATTAAAGCAATTAAAGAAGCAACTCTAAAGGGTACAGAAAACAGAGGGATAGGATGCTTAATAAATTACACCTAGCCTTCGAGCCAGCAATTTCACATTTTATCCTGCATATACACTCACACAAAAGTCATGTATATGTGAAAGTAAAAGAATATTCATTAAAACAAAATAAGATGAAACACTAAAAATAATCTAGAAGCCCATCAATTCAAGTAAATTATATTTATATGGCTATTACCCAGTTGTTGGAAAGAAATGGATCAATACATACTGATATGACAGCATGTCCACAAAATATTAATAGAAAAAGCAAGTTACAGAACAGTGTAAATAGTGTGCACTCTACTTGTGATTTAAAAAAAACTGCAGACACAACTGACACACCTATGTGTATGTCTGCACACATGTCTAGGAAACATGACAGATGCAAACTAAATTCATGATAGTGGTCACTCATGAAAACCAAATTTTTTTTTATAAAATGTCATATAATATGGGAAGATGATAGGTTATTAAATTAAAAAAGCAGGTTCCAGCATGTTCACATTATCCCTATTTTGTATAAAATCTGCATCACTACATGTGTGTACTTATATGTGTAATATAAAAAAGAACATACTACATGGGTATAAACATTGTTTTTATCTGGGTAGATATGTGTTTTATTTTTCTGAGTGTGCAAACAGTTTTCTATAGTAAGAAAAAAATATTTCCCAAGTCTTTCCTCCTCTCCTCTGGACTAAGAAATGTTTGAGACACCATTATCTATTTCTTGACCTTTTTATAGCATGAGTTAACCAAGCCAAGGAGTCTCTGAAACACCTTCCTAGTCTTCCATCAACAATATTGTCCTATCTTTCTCTTCCTGCTGCACTGGTTCTCAAATATCAGTACACATAAGCAGCAGCTTACTTCTAACATCTTCTCTCACCCCCGAAGATCCAGACTCAGGAGGTCTACATAGAAAAGAGAAATCTTTATTTTTAACAAGTACCCTGTGCTTTTTCTGATTGAGAAACATCTGTCCATCTCTCTAGCCATTACATTATTCACCTTCCCTAAATTCTTTCATACTTTGTTATTTAAATACTAATATTTTATGACCTCCAACCTTATCTTCTTTGGTATTCATTCTTTTTAGTTTTCTGAGGATATTTTATCTCTACTGGTTTTTACTATGCAAGTAACTCTCTAAATATGTTTCTCTTCAACTCACTTATTGCGCCTTAGTTTCAGGTTCTTATGTTCAATTTTCTTTTAGGCACTTCTGACTAAATATCCCAATTACTCCAAAATTAGTATGTTCAAAAACTGAATGAAACTTTCTCTCTAAACAGTCTCTTCCTGTA